CGGGAAGGCCCAAGATATCCGGCCCAAGTAACAGGCCCATCACTCTATGATGAAAAGATCCAGTAAGGAGACATACCGAACGGGGTTCGGCCCAAATAAAGGTTGGCCCAATAAGAAGACATACCGAACGAGGTTCGGACTATATATTATACTTGGGCCAATTTGACAGAATCTTCAGTACGGACCAACATCCCGTTCGAGCAACGGCCAACCAGCAAGTGGCCAGGTGCAGTTAATGCCAGACTATGACATCAGCAAGTGGAAGCATGGATGACCAAGTCGGTGGAACAACGGCCAATCAGCAAGAGGCAGCCCATGCTCTCCATTAGTATAAATAGAAGGTTTCAAGTCATTGTAAGGGTTAGCATTTCAATACTCAAGCTCTAGAATAGCATCATTTGCTCTTATTTCTTGTATTAAAGCATAGTTTCCGACTTACCGATCGGGAAATCCCTTGTAATCAGATTGGTTAATTAATACAAGTGAGCTTTCGAGTTTTAGTTAGTTCAGATCTTATATTTTCTTTTACGCTTTGATTCTGGGTCATTCCTGATATATCCAAAGTTCGTGTTGGGCTTTCGGATCTACAGGACTTACCCTCAACAGAAATCATCAATAATTGCTTTTTAATCAATCTTTTCAAGATTTCATGCTCAATGCATAAAATTGTTATTCTATTAAACTTTTTTGAGACATAATCGATTGCAGAATTGGGCGGCACTGGCGGCCCAAAAACAATAATATAAAATTTAATATTGTAATTAAAAGCAAAAAAAGCTTCAAAAGCTAAAAACATGTGAAGACACTCGCTTTTACTGATTCAGTAAGTAATGTGTTGAGTTTACAATCAACTCTACTTAAAATTCAACATGAAATGTATATTCATCTTTAAAACTTGTCTGGCTCTTATCAATACCTTTTACTTTTAAAAAAACTGAAATTGTCAATAAAAATTATACATTAGGCCTAATTAATTGAATTTATAAATAAAAAAGAAGCCTACTCATATTACATATAAACAATACTGTATTTACACTAAAAATGCTCTATTTACGCTGAAAGCACTAATTCACAGATATCAAGCTAAGTATTTGTGACACTCATATCTTGCCGAATGTTTTTCCGTTTAGAGCATATTATATCAGTGTCACAAATACTTAGCGCGCTCTCTGTGAGTTGACGTTTTCAGCGTAAATAGAGCATTTTTATAATAATTACAATCTTCTTTTCGAAACTCGGTTCATTTGGTAATCATCCCATAATATTTCGAAGCGGATTCCTCAAGACGAGATTTAGAACTCGATAAGATCTTTCCAACGAGATAGAAAACACTTTTAACAGAACGAAAATACAGTAAGATATGATCTGATCAAATTCTACACAAGTTCAGAGTGAAATCGGAAATGTATGTCAATTTACAGTTCATTTGTACCTTTTACTTAATGCATTGTAAACGAAGTTGGAACAATAGCTTTAGAACTCAAAATGATCTTTCCAACGAGATTTAATATGCTCTAAAAGAAAAACCATATGGCAATATATGAGTGTTACAAATACTTAGCTTGATTTCTCTGATTTATCATTTTTTGCGTAAATAGAGCATTTTTAGCGTAAATAAAGTCTTGTTTTCGAACTTCGGTTCATTAGGCAATCATCGCTTAATACTTTGAAGCCGACACTTGAAAACGAGTTTTAGAACTCGATAAGATCTTTTCAACGAGATAGAAAACGCTTTCAACAGAATGACTGAGAACCACGCAAAATTTACAAAACTTGATACACAACAATTTTGATCAGACATTTCGAAAAAGAAAAATTAGACAATCTTAGCAGGACGGAAAGTAATTGAGAGTCAAGTTAGGAGTTTGTGGTGGGCTACCCATCGCATTTGACAAAAAGCTCAGCCCAACCAATAAGGGTCATCGGCCGACCCGGTTCACTATATGAAGGGGTGGGCATGGGGTAGAGTATGTGAAACCCGGCCTAATCCATTAGCTCGGTCCGCCAAGAATCATCTTGGCCCAATGATAAGTCCGTATTTAGACACGCATTTGATACGTTTTGGGATCGGGTTTGATGGTTTTCCCTAGCTTTAAGGTGTTACAAGTCTCAATTTTAGCTCAAGTTATGTTTGCCGAGTGTTGGTTCGAGTTTTGTGTCATTAGAAGTCAAAATGAGGACTTTAGAGTTCCGCACCGGCGCTTGAGAAGAAATCAGGATGAGTTGAGAAGCATTCGAGAGTGACTTGAGAGCTTTGGAGGTCACCGAGAGGTTCACGATGAAGATTTGAAGGAAAAAGAGCTCTAGGATTGGCTACGGTCAGAAGAAGATGAATGGAGCTTGAAATCGGCGATCAGGATGACCTTCTATCAATCGTTCAAGCATATCTCTTTGTAGAAACATTCAATGTACACGATTCAATATCCATATGAAAGCTAACTTCAATGGATACAAATCATATCAAGACACCTTTTCTAGAATCTTAGAGCAAGAAGGTGAAAACAGGCGATGAAGGCAGATGATCTCTGCTGCGATTTCAGAATGATACCTTCCACCGTTTTGATGATTCAAATCCCATTCGGCAAATTGGGATAGATAGAGAGGACTTCATCATTTACAACTTTTATGAAGGAAGCATTGCCAAATTAGGAAGTTAAGTAGGCACGATCGTGCCCTCAAAGTCAGACACTATCGTGCATGAAGAGAAAGCATCCCGGAGCTACTGCCAGGCAGGCACGATCGTGCCTGCCCAAAATGCGCGTTTTTTCTCCGGAGGCACGATCGAAGGCACGGTCGTGGTTGGCACCGTGCCTGCCTCCAGAAATCCCAATTCAACTCAAATTTTAGTATTTTACCCGATTTTTCTATTTAAACAACCTGTAAACCCCTGTTCTCGGGGGGAGCTTAGAGAGAGGCTTAGAGACGAAATTTCTTCTACTTTTCCATCTTGTTCTTCAATTCCCTTGGATTATTTGTAAGTTCCATCTTTTTAATTAATGACAATTAATTATATTCTTCCCAATTCTATTGATTCTTCAATTATGAGTTGTGAGTAGTTTTAATTGGGGATTTGGGATTGATGAAGGGGTTAATCATGATGTATGGCTTGTTTCTTGATGGATTAATTGCCTGAATGCCGTTTAATTTGTGTTTGAATAATTTAATTGCTATCTTTTGTAACTTGGAACCGCGGCTAGATTTACAATTGTGTGTAGAATAAATTAAGAGAGATCTAATTTATTCTGAGACACATTCACACACACTTAATCGCTCGCTAAGAGATTAGTAGCGATTAAGGGGCCGTAAGCTCACTCGTTTTGGCAATAATTTAGGATCCTGTCGCATGAGAGATCAGCCTGGTCCCCTAAATTATTGTACTCTATGCCAAAAATCCGATTACCCCGGAATCAATCCATGTTCCCTACTGTCATTATATTGAAAGAACCCATTAGTTTAATTTTTTTATTTTAATCATTCATTCGCATTAGTTAATTTTCCTAATCAATCAAATCTCACACGACGCATTTATTTTATTTATTTCTAATCGCTAAATTTATTTAATTCTTAATTCCCTTTTGTCCGTCTCTGTGGAGACGATACTCGTACATACACCACTATTCTACAATCTATTTTAAGTGCGAGAAAACTAACATCACCCAACCAATTATGCCACGCCCAAAAGCTCTTTTATACATTATTAATTTAATACACTAATGATAGAGTATATGGGTCCATGCCACATGACCCTTATACTCACAAGACTAAAACAAGCGTAACCACCGCCCCACATGATCCTCCTTCGACCAGATGACACTCCATCGGCTGAACAACAGTCGACTCAGAATATGGTGCAGAATCCAGGAGAACCGGGGGGTGCTCCGTCGACCGGGTCTCTATTGGTCAGGTCTCCCACGCCTAGGGCTCCGTCGGCCACAGAGACTTCGCATAACTAGATTTCATACCTAGTGAGGTTGCATGCTCTATATTCGGCCCAGTAGTGACCTCATATTGTAAATGGGCCTTCCAAATCTTCCCTATAAATACTCTTATTACACGATAAATACCCCTATTTGGGATAGTTGTAAGGGGTTAGGTAATACATTTATTACACTTCTCTCTCTCTAGCTCTCGCTTCTCTCTAAGAGTTAATACTCTATCAACTAACTTCATAATTAGTACCATATAAAAGTAATAAGTAATAGTTAAAAAAACGAAGTTCTAGATTGTTGTTAGGTGGTTAATAAATGTGATATAATTATAAAATTTAGATAAAGAAGAATAAATGTAATATTTCTGTATTTGTACTCTTGTTGTCAAGAGTGCACAACAAAAAACTTAGATATAAATATATTGAACTTTCATTTTATTATCATCTCTTGCAGTAATAAATTCTTTTTGCTCATTTAATTGATGACAAAGTACATCGTATTTTCACTATTTTGTAATGAATAGAGTTTTTTCATTTTTCTTACGAACTATCTCTGCGCACCCTTGATGGTGCTAGACGCACCTCTTTTTCCATGTTATTGGACACATTTATCCTCTTTGACTATTTGGTATATTTCAAATTCTATATGGAGTAGTGGAGTAGCGTATAAGATCATCACTACTACGTGTCATATAGAGTATGAAGTATCTCCGTTCATTGATCTGGATTTTTTAATTAGCCCCCTTTTATTGCTCTTTTAAAATAAAAATAGGTTTTGATATTTTAGTAATAAATTATGTGTATCATTTTTCTAAAAAAACAATGTAACTGTGTTTGAAATATACTCCTATTCCTAATATAATCAGGATTACACTTTCTAATTACCATCAAGCAACACCCATATAAATATTGGTGGACTAGCATGGCGGTCCCTTATGCCAAACTAAATAAACGGGCTTGGGTTAAAATTTTATTACAAAGGCCAGACCTAACCCAACTCTTTCACAATTGAGCCCAGTCTGGTCCACACTAAACCCAAAAGGTTTGAGCCATGTGGCCCAGCCAAGCCCAGCCTATTTATGATCCCTAATTAAGTACTCACTATAAATTAGCCATTATTATTAATTAATGCCAAAGTAGTAATGATGGTAGAGAAGAACTAATAAGTCGGTTACATCCCACACGGTGCATGATATCCTAAGGAAATCGGCTATTGCCATTTATTAAGCACATAATATACAGCAATTACTACGAAGTCCACCACGACATTTTGACCACTTGACGGAATCATCCTCGAAACAACCAAACCTTTCCAAACCCAAATCTCAATCTCTTCGATCTGTCCCTATATATTCTGCATTTTCCTCTGTTATTTTAATTAATTACTTCGTAATAATTAATCCGCCGGCAATACCCGCACGCTTGAATGGAGTGGTCCAAGCCGGAAGCCATCTGCCGGAGACACCCGGACCACAAACAACCGTCCGGCGTCTGTTCTTGCTGCCTCAGAGAGCGGCTCTCCAAGATCTCCGGCGCCGTCTCGGTGTCTTCCGGTACATCTCTCTCTTCATCTCCGGCGGAGAACTGCGACTACTACTCCGCCTCATCCTCCTCTGCCTCCGGCTGCGGTACTCCCCGCGGCCATCGCCGGATAACGTCCGACGTGGCGGGACGGTTCTCTTTTCTTTCGATTGGTAGCGGCGGATGTGAAGGCAGGTTGAAGAAGAGCAGATCGATCGCTTTTGCGGCGAGAAAACAGGGGCGAGGTCGCGGCGGCGGGAAGAAGAACGAAGGGTTTTGGTCAAAGCTTATTAAATCGACGGGTAAAAGGACTAAGAAGGTTTTCTTGCACTAGAGACCTTCAAGAATCAACATATTTCTCCTGCATATCTTTGGGTTTAATATATTTATTTATGTGCGCATGGATTTTTGGATTTTACAGTTTGGTCTCTTTTAGAGGCATTCTTTTTACCTGTGCGTGAATAATAGATTTATTAAATTGGTAATCATGGAGTACAAGGAAATAGAATTTTAGTTCATTGTATACGCAATTCTTTAAATTGAAATCTTATCAAATTTAAGATAGATTTTTGGATCCAATGCACAAGATCTAGTAACTATTTGTGTCATAAGAGATTTAATTTTATGTTACATCTCAATAGAGTTAATACCTTGAAATTGTATGCAATTTATGCAATTTTTTTGAGGTAGTATAACTTTTTTGTCCATATTTTCATTTTTAAGAAAAATATATCAAAATTTTTAACTTTTAAAATCTTTCGTACGACATTAATATTGCATTGCATATATTAAAATCAAAAGCATTGTGAAATTTTAACCACTAGATGTTTTCGGACTTAATTTTTTCTTAAAATAGATTCAAGTACTCAAATTTAGACGAGTTCGTATATCTTACAATCGGTTGTATGGTTAGCACCGTACAGCCTAGTAAATTTGTACTCTGTAATTGTCATCAACTTCTAGCCCTTTAATCCTTTGCTCTTAACCTACATTCCCTATTAATTAATCGATCATGTCCTGCATTTTGCTTGACACGGAACATCCGGGCGACTGGCTGCAGGTGCAATGCAATGATTCTTTTGACCGGGTCACAAAGATCCAAATTGGGAACTAGAATCTTGGCAGGTCTCTTCAGGCCTCCCCCGGGAATCTCCCCAGCTTGGAGATACTCAAAGTGAATACCAACCACATCGCCGCCGATTTTCCACACCTTCCCTGTAGCCTTGTGAACCTCTTCCTGAACGACAACACGTTCACTTTAATCCTGCCGGATTTATTCTCCAGCATGACTTCGTAGCATTGGAAAATGACTTTCATGCCCTTGTCACAGAATTGTCCGATGCCAAACAAGTTGTGTGTCAATCCAGCAACATAAGAAACGTCTTTGATTGTGTTAGAAAATGGACATGTGCCCATCCACCTGATCTCATATTTGGAAATTCTTCAAGAGGACTATGCACACGATCTGCTACCGAGATGAATGTTTGTTTTCCTGTTTCCTAAGTCTATCTGAGCCTACTCATGTCACCGAAGTGTTAGCTGATCCTGATTGGATAATCGCCATGCAAAAAGAAATCAATCAGTTTGAGAGACTGAAAGTCTAGTCACTTGTTCCACGGTCCCCTGGAAAATCAATCATAGGCACTAAGTGGATCTTCAAGAACAAGAAAGATGAAGACAGGATTGTAATTCACAATAAGGCCGATTAGTTGCGAAAAGCTACAATCAACAAGAAGGCATCAACTATAATGAGACGTTCGCTCCAGTTGCATGCGTTGTAGCCATTCGACTGTTCATGGATTATGATGCACACAAAAACTACGCCATCTATCAAATGGACGTCAAAACAGCATTCTTGAACGGGATCTTGAAAAAAGAAATATCCAGATCACGTCTATCGCCTGGATAAAGCTTTGTATGGACTCAAACAAGCACCAAGAGTTTGGTATGAGGAATTATCTGATTTCCTAGTTGATTCTGGCTTCTCTAAAGGAACGATTGACACTACTCTCTTCATTAGGCGTCATGGGTCTGACATCATCTTGGTTCAGATCTACGTTGATGACATCATTTTTGGTTCCACTGATCCAGCCCTATGCACTGTGTTTGGAAGTCTGATGCAAGCTAAGTTCAAAATGAGCATGATGGGTGAAATAAATTTCTTTCTTGGACTACAGGTTAAACAATTGCATGACGGAATTTTCATTCATCAGTCCAAGTACATTCATGATTTGCTGAAGAAATATGGTCAAGAGAACAGCACCCCTGTGAAAACCCCGATGACTCCAGCCTGCAAGCTTGATTCTGACGGAATCTTTCTTGGAATGATTGGTTTGTTGCTGTATTTGACCTCGAGTCGACCTGATATTATGTTTGCCACCTGTTTCTGTGCTCGCTTTCAAGCAAATCCAAAGGAATCACATCTGCTGGCTGTGAAAAGAATTCTACGTTATTTGAAAGGAACTCCTAATCTAGGACTCTGGTATCCTAAGGAGACTGCATTTGATCTGATTGTGTTCACTGACATAGATTTCGCTGGATGTAAAATGGACAGAAAGAGTACTTCTGGTAGTGCTCAATTTCTTGGAGAAAAGCTGGTCTATTGGTTCTCAAAGAAGCAAAATTGTGTGTCCACATCTACAACGGAGGCTGAATATGTCACTGCTGCTAGCTGTTGTTCACAATTATTATGGATGAGGACTCAACTACGCGACTTTGGATTCTACTTTGACCACATTCCGATTTACACTGACTCAAAAAGTGCGATTGCTATTTCATGCAACCTGGTTCATCATTCTCGCACTAAACACATTGACATGCGATTCCACTTCATCAAAGATCATATTGAAAAAGGTCATGTGAATCTATACTTTGTGTGCACTGAGCTGCAATTGGCTGATCTATTCACAAAAGCTCTGGACGAGAAAAGATTTCAGTTCCTGGTCTCTAAACTGGGAATGTTGAATTTGGAATTTTGATACCGTGCACAAGTATAGGGAGAGTTTTTAATTTTTGTTTATTTTGTTTGTCGTGTAATTTTTTTATTTTTTATTGAGTCAGTTTCTTGGTATGTCGGTCTGTTTCCCTAAAATGTGCAAACATTGAGGGGAGCAAAAATTAGTCTGGTCTGAGTGCTACAATTGAGGGGAGTATCTTAAATTCTTTTAGTATCCGCATTTTTATGAAAATCACAAAACAAATCTCTTAATTTGAGTCAGTTTAGGATTTTTTTAGTTTGTTCAATATGAGTCAGTTTACTAAATCCAAAAATCCAAAAAGAGTTTTTCATTTTTTTTCGGATACTTAAAGTAAGAAACCGTTGATTTTTTCCATCTTCTTCCTCTCTCTCCTCACTCGAATTCTTTCTAGCAAAGTAGCACTCAAGGTCTTCAAAGTTTTCGATCATGTTCTTCGTAACTCATCATCATCTCCATCAAAGTTTCATTCCAAGCTTTTGCCTTAGTGCATTGAATTTTGCTTCATTCAATGGCTTGGTGAAGATGTCAGCCAGCTGCTTTTCTGTGGGAATGTATTCTAACTTGAAAGTCTTTTTCTCAACATGTTCTCTCATGAAGTGGTGCCTTATCTCAATATGCTTGGTTCTTGATTGAAATACTGGGTTATGAGTGATTGCAATAGCACTTGTGTTATCACACAGTATGCTAATTTCCTTTGTTTCTTCACCATAATCCTTCAATTGTTGTTTCATCTAGAGTATTTGAGCACAACAGCTGCCTGCAGGTATGTATTCAGCTTCTGCAGTGCTAGTAGCAATTGAGTTTTGTTTCTTACTGAACCAAGAGACAAGTCTTCCTCCAATCAGTTGACAAGTACCAGAGGTGCTTTTTCTTTCAATCTTACATCCAACAAAGTCTGAGTCTGAATATACATAGAGATCAAAACCTCCATTTGGTAGGTACCATAATCCAGAGTTAGGATTACCTTGAGATACCTCAATATCTTCTTTGCTGCTAGGAGATGACTTTCTTTCAGCTTTGATTGAAACCTTGCACACACTCCAACTGAGTAGGATATATCTGGCCTACTAGTAGTGAGATATAACAAGGAACCAATCAAACCTCTATAGAGTGTAGGATCAACATCTTTCCCATCTTCATCTTGACTTAACCCTTGTGAAGTATTCATGGGAATCTTCACAGTAGATTTGTTTTCAACCTTGAATTTCTTCAAGAGATCTCTTGTATACTTAGCTTGGTTGATGAAGATACCTTGTGGAGTGTGCTTCACTTATAGGCTCAAGAAATAGTTCAACTCTCCCATCATGCTCATTTCAAATTTCTTTTGCATGAGAGTTGAGAATTTCTCACATAGTGCTTTATTTGAGCTTCCAAAGATTATGTCATCAACATAAATTTGAACAAGTAGTATGTTTGGACCTTCTTCAAATTTGAATAGTGTTTTGTCTACTTTGCCTTTAGTGAACCCATTACTCACTAAATATTCAGATAGAGTATCATACAATGCTCTTGGGGCTTGCTTGAGTCCATAAAGAGCTTTATGCAATTTGTAGACTTGATCCTTCTCCCTATTGATTTCAAATCCAGGAGGCTGCTCCACGTAGACCTCTTCTTCTAGTAGACCGTTTAGGAAGTCACTCTTCACGTCCATTTGATAGACAGTGAATTGCTTATGGGAAGCATAAGCTAAGAATATCCTTATTGCTTCAAGTCTGGCAACAGGAGCAAAGGTTTCATCAAAATCTATCCCTTCTTCCTCGCAATAGCCTTTGGCTACCCATCTTGCCTTGTTCTTAACAATGGTGCCTTCCTCATTCATTTTGTTTCTGAACACCCATTTGGTTCCTATCACATGTTGATGATAGGGTCTAGATACAAGCTCCCATACACCATTTCTCTCAAACTGGTTGAGTTCTTCTTGCATAGCTTGTATCCAGTCAGAATCAGGTAGGGCTTCTTCAATTTTCTTGGGCTCAGTTTGTGAAATGAAGCAAGAGAATAGTGCTTCTCTCTGAATTGCTGATCTAGTTCGAACCCCTTCATGGATGTTTCCAATAATTTGGTGAGGGGGATGCTGATTCAACCATCTAATGTCAGATGTTTGCACTGTTTGAGTTTGTTGCTCATCCTCCTCTTCTTCTTCACTGTCCTCTGGTAGAAATTGGGGATTATGAACTTCAAGTTTTGAGTTTGGATCATCTGGAACATCTGGGACGTTGCTTCTGGATGAGTCAGTTGTTGGCAGTGTTCTGCGTTTGAGTCAACTACGGGTAGTGGGCTGCCGTTTAAGTCAACTGCTGGCAGTGGAATGCCGTTTAAGTCAACTGTTGCTTCTATAATTTTTTCATCTTTTTATTTATCATTTCTGGGAAGACAGCTTGGAGCCTTTCCAGTGTCTTTCTTTGTTTTAGATGACTCGCATTCATCCCTTTTATGAGCAGTGGAGTGGTTTTCAAAGACCGCATGGATTGATTCTTCTACAACCAGAGTTTTTTTGTTAAGGATCCAGAATTCCTTGCTTGTAGCTGAGTAGCCCAAGAAGATCCCTTCATCAGATTTAGGATCAAAAGGCTTGAGATAGTCTTTCCCATTATTTAGAATGAAACATTTGCTTCCAAATATATGGAAATGACTAACATTCGACTTCCTTTCCTTCCATAGCTCGTATGTTGTCTTTTTGTAAGTCTTATGAATAAGACTTCTATTCTGGGTGTAGCAGACGGTATTGATTGCTTCTGCCTAAAATCTTTTGGGCAATCCTGCTGCTTCTAGAATTGTCCTTCCAGCTTCTTTGAGAGTTCTATTCCTTCTCTCAGCAACACCATTTTGTTGAGGTGTTCTAGCTGTTGAGGTTTGGTGATGGATTCCGTTTTCTTCACAGTACTGAATTACTATAGATTTTAGAAATTCAGTACCTCTATCTGACCGGATCTTTTTAATTGATAGACTTTTCTCATTTTGGATCAATTTCATCAGTTCAGGGAGCTTCTTTTCTGTTTCATTCTTCTTCTTGAGGAATAGGGTCCATGTGTATCTGAAGTAATCATCTACTATAACCAAGGTGTACCTTCTGCTACTTAAGCTTGTTGGTTCAACTGGTCGAAACAAGTCAAGGTGCAGTAGGCTTAATGGTCTAGTTGATTATTCTTCTTCTTTTTATTTGAATGATAACTTTGTTTGCTTCCCCTTTAGACATGCATCACATAAGTGGTCCTTCTTGAAGTTGATTTCTGGAAGTCCTTTCACCAATCCTTTTCTGGACAGTTTGTTGATGGTTTTGAAGTTGAGATGGATGAGTTTGTTATGTCAGTCCCAACTTAAGTTTGAATTTGCCTTTGTCACCAAGCAGATCCCTTCCTTTGCTGAGCTCCAATCAACAACATACATTCCTTCTTCCTTCTACCAGATATCACATATTTGTCATTTTTGACATATTTAATCAAGCAGATGTCCTTAGAGAATGTTAATAGCCATTGTCACAGAGCTGGCTTGTGCTTATGAGATTGAACTTCAAACCCTTAACATAAGATATGTTTTGGATTGTGAGTCCATTGATTGATAAGTCTCTAGCTCCTTTGGTTTCTCCTTTCTTTTTCACATTCCCGAATGTAACTTTGGGTCCTTCTCCAGCAACGTAGTTAGACAGTAGCCTCTTGCTTCCTATCATGTACCTGGAGTAGCCTAAGTCTATGTACCATATTTGTGAGTCAGCTGCTCCAGCACCTTCCTGTATTCATCATCGTTTAGCAGTAGCCCACAAGTTAGTGGGCAACTTCCCTTGTACAAGTTTAGGCATCCAAGACCATCTAGAACCATTTAAATCTAAGCAGATAGGTTTATAGCCACTTGAGGTATTGTAATCATGGGGGATGGCTATATATTTATTAATCCTTTTCCTTTTGGATATGGGAAAGTGATTATTAAATTTTGGAGGGGTCTGCTTTGTATTTGGGCTGTTGTTGGTCTTATTCATTGGTTGCCAACGTGTTCTCGGGTTTTAATGGTTAGGGAAAGTTTGTTTGTATAGGAATTTGGATTTTGATTTGGGAACAGGCTGGTTCCTTCTTTTGGGAATGTGTTAGGAATGGGGCAGTTGGATGGTTAGTTTCTTTGGGTTTGTTTGTTGGCTAGCGGATGGGGAGTTTTGATTGAGTCTAGTAGGGGATATGTACCCGAGACCTCTTCTCTTCCTATGTAGAATAACTTCAGCAGTAGTGTTACAATTTTTTCTATCCATGCTGGAGTTATTCATTTTAGCTCTTTGTTCTCTTCTTCTAAGACATTGTTTTTGGTTATTTTTCATCTCTTTGTTCTCTTCTTCTAAGACATTGTTTTTGGTTAAGGCATCTAACAGTTTAGCATGAATAACCTTAATGTCTTGTTTTATTCTATCATTTTCAGATCTCAAGAGAACATGGTGATTTTGGACTCTTTGGAAGTCATTTAGTAAAGACTCTAGTGTAATGTTTGATGGTCCAAAATCACTAGAGCTATTGGAAGAGCAAGATGTTACCTCCACATCATTGAAGTGGTCATCTTCCATGAAACATCTGGGTGAGCAACTTTCCTTATTTTCACTTGTTGAGGTTTCATTGAGCTGCCTGCTGCTTTCTCCAAAGAGCCACCTGCTGTTATTTTCAGCAACCTGCCAAGCACCTATGCAAAGTAGTGCTTCTTCAGAGCTCTCAGATGAAGAACTTTCATCACTTGAGCTACTCTCTTCATCACTTTGGGATTCTACCTTCTTCTTCTCACTTACAAAGGCTTGTCTCTTACCCTTGAAGTCCTTCTTGTATCCAGCTTTTTGAGCAGTTGCTTGTTGCCCTTGATACTTCTGTGCCAATGGCAGAGGGCACTCATTTTTGTAGTGTCCTGGCTATCTACAGTTGTAGCATAGGACAGTGTACTCACTGGATTGAGGTCTCCCTTATCTCCTGGATGGTAGATTGTACGGCTTCTTTGGTGCAGGTGCCTCCTTTTTCATGAACCTTTTGAACTTCCTCACAAACATTGCAAATTGTTCATCAGTGAGGAGGTTGTTGATGGATTTCTCAGTAGATCTTGATGTGCTTGGCTCAGACACTAGAGCTAGTGTCTTGGATTCTTCTCTTTTTTCTTCCTTGATTTCCTTCATCTCAAACTCATAAGATTTAAGATCACTGAAAAGCTTATCAGTTGAAAGACTTCTGAGATCTCTGCTATCTCTCATAGCAGTTACCTTCATATCCCACTTGGAGGGCAAACCTCTCAAAACCTTAAGGAAAATTTCCTTTTGAGTTAGTTCTTTCCCTAGGTCAGAGATCTCTGCCACAATTTTCAGGAATCTAGAATCCATCTCATGGATTGATTCATTTGGCACCATTTTGAAGTCCTCAAACTTTTTTAGGGCTATGGTCAGCTTATTATCCTTTTCTCGTTCGTCTCATGTTCCTATCTTTGTTAACTCATCCCAGACATCCTTTGCAGGTGCACATTTCCTTATTCTAGGAAATATGATTTCATCTACAGATTTGAAGAGAATGTCTTTGGAAATATTGTCAAGATTGTTTCTCTTCCTGTCTTCAGTTGTCCATTCCAACTTGGGTTTTGGAATATACACATCATCTGGTGCTTCTACCGATTTGGATGTACTGACCTTCATTATTTTGATAGGTCCATCAGTAATTACTTCCAGCATTTCATCATGTAAAGCACTGAGGTGTTCTTTCATTCTGATTTTCCAGTCATCAAACTTATTCAAGTTGAACATGAGATTTTTGGCTAACTAACTCTCCATTTCGAAAGAAATTTTTGTGGGAAGTGAAGTGGGTTGGATCTTTAGTTCAAATTATTCAGATACTGACTCTAGGAACACTTGTCTCTGATACCACTTGATGGTCCCTGATAGAGGAAAAAGTCTAGAGGGGGGTGAATAGACTTTTAATGCTTTTTCAATTTTAAAAAGTTTTCTATGCTAGATAGGTTGATCTACAATATTCTGGAAGATTGTAGATGCATAGCGGAAGTCTTAACCTCTATATGAGTATGAACTTTCTATCTTTGGGTAAAGATTTGGCCTTAAAAAGTGAGCAGGTTGCTAAGCAGTAAGCTCAGCAGTTGGGTGAAAATCAGGGAACTGCTGAGGCAACTGTTGAGGAAATATATAGCTAGTGATGGAGTTAATTATGGAGTGTTACTCAGGATAATGAGGGCAATCTGGAGATGTATAAAGCTGAGTGGAAAGTGAGAGTTTATGATAGCAGTGGTCCGAGCAGTTGGGTGGTCGCCAGGGAACTGTTGAGGCAACTGCTTGATAAAAGATGAGAATATGAGAGGGCTGATTATAGAATCTTACTTAGAATGATATGAGCTTTCTGGAAATGTGCTCGGCTGAGTTTAAGTGGAAGTTTATGGGAGCAGTGGCCTGAGCAGTTGGGTGATTGCCAGGGAACTGCTGAGGTACCTGCTGAGTTATGATTCCCAGAAATCTGTTTGAACAAACTTCTTTGTAGTGATTTAGTAAGATTACTGCAATGTAAATATGTCTCAAAGAAAGTATGTAATTAAGCAGTATGTTGAGCAGTGGCGTCAGATGAGGCTACTGCTGAGGATACTGCTGGCAGACTACTTTCTTTAATGAGAAGTGTTGGGTGTGTGCTTTGTTGACTGAAATTAAATCAACACACGGTATATCATGGTTCAGAGGTGGTGTAATCCTCCTACGTCCAGTCTCACCCTCTTTCAGATGGATTTCCACTAAAGTATTAAGCCAATACACTTAGTACCCAATATAGCCTTTACAACTGAAATGGCCTAGATTGAAAGGTGTTTCACAAGGAGTACACACCACTCCAAGTTACTCAATCCTTAGGTTTTTCTCTATTGATCCAGTGGGGATCAAAAGATACTCTATCCTATCTAACTACACTTAGGATTAGAACGGCTGTTCTCCTGAGTGTTTACAACAATATATTTTGTGATTTGTTTCAAAAATTTCTAACCTGCAACTAGGAACTAAACTTCTAGAATTTAGCAATGATAATTTGTAACATGGAAGTTTAGTGAAGCATGAGTCCAAGCAGAGGATAAAGTTAGACCATCACTTTCTCCTTTGCTAGATATCTCTTAAATGCTCAGTGGGAGTTTTTCTCTACTTAGGATGCTCAAAGCTTGGTTAGAAACTCGTGTTTTGGCCTATATTTATAGACTTCTCTGACTGGTCAATCTTATGCGTTGGTTAACATAAGTTGATTTGTATCGTTGAGCGAGTTGTACTTTTGTCTTCATGTGCTCGAGCATTTATTGAGGGTGTCTCCACTTATTGACCGCTGAGAAATCACTTCAACATCAGTTGTACGCGTTTCACGTTTCTAGGCCTCATGTACTTGATTTAACATTAACTGCCTATCAAGTTTTATCCGTAATGATTCATATGCAATGAATGTGGCTTTCATACTTGGCCTTTACACATATAATTTTTGTGTCAAATAAATTATACTGGTAGGATTTTAAATATCCTTTTTAAGGTAAAAAGAATTTTACCTTATTGCATTTTTTTATTTCCAGTGGAATTTCATTTATCACAAAAATTGTACATTTTGTTTTTCTTATGTGACGTTTTTTAGTACGGGTGACCGGGTTAATTTTTATGTCCAATAAATTTATATTGGTAGGATTTAAATATCCCATTAAGGTAAATAGAAAATTACCTTATTGCATTTTTAATTTCTAGTATAATTTACTGATCACAAAAATTGTACAATGATTTGTCACTTAATGATTAATTTTGAACACAGATACTTTAGGTAAATGAGACACAATGTACAAGAGCAAAGTATAGTGGCATAATCAAAATCTTATCAAAATTGGGTACTAACAAATATACAGAAAACTTCAGGTACATTTTTCATTCTTTAAAGAAATCTTGGAACCCGTTTGTGCGAATTAGGGTTACTCTTGATGTTGGTAAACTTTGAAAAAAAAGGAGGGTGGAGAGGGTTTCATTGTGAACTTTCGGTATGAAAAACTGTCTAGCTTTTGTTTTCTATGTGAAATAAATAAGCATGCAGAAAAATTATGCCCTATGTTTTTGGAGGGTGGATCTGTTGGAGTAGAGAAATCTTATGGGCCATGGATTAGAGCTTCAAGGGAAAATAGGCAAGTGAGTGGAGGAGACAAGTGGCCGGTACCAAATGGAGGAGGCAAGTGGAGATCCAAGTGAGAAGATGGATATGGTCTCATGTCGGGTTAGGGAGGACACTACAAGGAAGAGAGACATTGTGATAATGCGTGGAGCAGGTTTTTTTTGATGATATGGTAGTGTGTCACGCCTCAGACCGCATCTAAGCACATGTACAATCGTCGTATGACCAAGTGACATCACTCGCAAGTCAACGTGACTTAATCATACAAGGCGTCCATGAACATAATCCATCCATACTCAGTAGTAAACATACATAACAATATCACAGTTTAGATTAATCGAATAGCGGAAATATTCAATAATCAATCGTGGGCAACACATGGCCAAAACCTGGGCTCGCAGGCCCAAAACAATATATAAGTCACATTAAATATCCATGAGCATAGTTTGTAGTTTTAAACAATAAAGGAAGCACGAACCACATTTTCCTTTGGATCACTCCGTCGAACAAGATGCAGATAGCAAGCATTAGCTTCAATCTGAAAATGATGGGGCCCCCCGAAGGGGTCAGTACAAGTACCGAGCGAGTAGCAAGCTAAATATAGAATAACTAACGTTTCATGTATAAGACCCAAACATAGGGTGATACATACACGTATAGTAATCTCCCCCCATGTTATGAAATACTCCCTCCGTCCCCCAATTAAGTTACCGGTTTGACTTCACACATATTAAGAAAATAGAATTGACTTTACTGTGGAGTGCACTGTTTTGCACTGTTCAAACACTGTTTGACACTGTTTTGCACTGTTTGACATTGTTTTGATGTAGATAATTTGCCAAATAAGGAAAGTAAGGAAGTGTGAACTTAATTTAGGGACTGTCCAAAAAGGAAAGTGGTAACTTAATTGGGGGCGGAGGGAGTACATATAAGTATATATACACTTGGATATACCCGACCCGTAGGTCATTGTTTATTTGGGAAAATCTTAGTAGCCAATATCCTTGACTTAAATCCCAACCCACCCATATCATATGAGTGTATAGGACTCCTCCTGGTCCAATTCATCTTATTCATACGAGTTTGAGGACAGTACCGTCGTCCTTGGATTCTTTACCATTTATACATATGAGTTTTGAGGAGAGTATCGTCGTCCCTGGGTCTCCACCGTTTGTACATTTGAGGTTTGAGGATAGTATTGTCGTCCCTGGGTCTCCACCGTTTATACACCTGAGGTTTGAGGACAGTACCTCCGCCCCTGGGTCTCCACTGTTTATACATTTGAGGTTTGAGGACAGTACCGTCGCCCCTGGGTCTCCACTGTTTATACATTTGAGGTTTGAGGACAGTACCTTTGCCCCTGGATCTCCACCATTTATATATTTGAGGTTTGAGCACAGTATTGTCGCCCCTAGGTCTCCACCGTTTATATATTTGAGGTTTGAGGACAGTACCGTCGCCCCTGGGTCTCCACCATTTATATATTTGAGGTTTGAGGACAGTTCTGTCGCCCTTGGGTCTCCACCGTTTATACATTTGAGGTTTGAGGACAGTATCGTCGCCCCCGAGTCTCCATCGTTTATACATTTGTTCCTATGATCTACCAGATAT